TTAAAAACTTGAAAAAAAATCAAATATAAAAGGCGAGGTTAAGAGTATACAATTAAAAGTTAAAGGCAAACATACACACACACAAAAAGCTTTACAATGAGAAATACCAAACATACTAAAACCAACTAAATATACAAAATATGAAATTATCTACTATCAAATTAGTTAACTCAAAAGTTGACAGAATGGATAAATATTTAATGGATCAGTGAATTGAGATGACCCTTGTAACATCATTTCCTCTGTGGAATGCAATTTACTTTGATGATGGTGTGTACACGTGAATTCTCCGAATAAAAGTAACATTATACTAATATTAACCAAATCATGTATACATGTTAATTAGCCAAATGCTTTTAAAAAATGTCATCGCTTAAGCATCTTATTTTCATAATGATTATTAAGATTTTAATTTCAATATTTTAGCATTGTTTTAGAATTCTAATTTTACATCGGTTTTATAGCATCTTGCTTTCATGATGGTGTGTATTAGTGTATCTTTTTGAAAAGTTTTAGCATTATACTTGCATTATCCAAATCATGTGTACATATACCTTTGTTTTTAAATTAGGTTTGATATAGAATTCTAATTTCATTCTACAGAAACACACACACTTGTACCTTAAATTTATGTGTATAGGGGCGTTCATTTTGTCATTTTCATTTATTTTTATACAAGCTTTTAGTGTTTTTAAAACTTTTTTACATCATTTTTGGCATACCATTCTGACAGTCATCTTCATTAGTTTTTTGATATACCACCAAACCATAAATCAGACGAAAAACATGCCATCATACAACAACTACTTGTACTATTAAAATGTTTTCCACAAAAACATGTCATTTGGTATAGTCTTTAGAATCTTACGAGGAGTTCCTATCACCATGAATTTTTTTATATTATAAACAATAAACACATAATTGCTACCAAATGAAAAATGCAAAATAGAGAAATGTCGAGAAAATATCATCACATGAAATAACAATTTTATTCACCCGGAATGTAGTTAAATTTATTTGGAAGCATCTGATTTTGGATCTAGTCTCTTATTTGCATGCTTTGCTCCAAAAAACATCATGGTTACAAAATATCATATGTGTAGCAACATACTTTTTTACAAATAAAAAGAAAAATTAAAAACTCAATAATTTGCTTTACTACTCGGTCACAAACAAACAAACCAAAAAAACGCCCAAAAAACATTCTACTATAGTTCTTGTTATTCTTTTCGGTTTTCAGAACATTGTGGTCTTTGTTGTAAAATATAAAAATAATGATTACATTACCCTTCTAGTAAAAAAAATGTTTGAGTAAAAGAAAAGCAACCTATCTTCCTTTGTTTCTTTATATGGCAACTCATTTTTATATTTTATAGAATTTTAATTTCAACGTTTATTTTCTAATTAGAAGTACTTCGAAATTTTAATGAATTTATAAAATGTTGGTTCATATAGTAGAAAAATATTATATAAATGGTCCATGTCACGAAAGACTATAGAAATATTGCATGTGTAGAAATAGCTTATAAAATAAAAAATGATTCCAATGGCTGTAACTCTGTAAGTGATTATAGATTTGGTCCTTTGTAAGAAAAGATTACTAAAATGGTCCCTATTTAGGAAAATATTATATAAATGGAAAATGTTACCTGTAATGTTTTGCTTTCATTTGTTAGTCTACATTGAAAATCTAACATGATATAAATTAAAACCATATTCATCTTTAATGAGATCGAAAAAAATTGGGCATTAAAATTGACATTTTAGAAAACCATAAGGACAATTTATGAAAGATTTGTGTAAAATTATTAACTGCAACCCTTTTTTGTTTTACTACTAGTGGCACACAAAGTCGTCGCCTCCATAATCAACCTCCGTTTCTCAATCGCTTCTACACAACAAAATCATCGGTCCGTCATGTTTGACCGCCGTCGACGACCGTCATGTTTGACCCCGGCGACGGCCACAACCTACAGATTATCCACCGATTTTCATATGATTTACATGGCTTTCTCAAGGTACGTGGCAATCAACTTATTACTTAGCATCGTAATCGTTCCTTTTCTTTTGATGTATTGATGTTTGTTCTCCCAATGCTTTATATGTAAAGATAATATATGAATATAATATGTGGATTAATCTTCGTATCAATAATCAGATTTCAAAACTTCATTTGAAATTAACGTTGTTTGATTAATAGTTTGATCTGTTGATGCAACAGATCAACTGGTATGTTTGATTTTGAAGTAGAAAAGGTAATTCAGCAAGAATTTGTGTCGCGATTCGATTCAAAAATCATGTATTGATGATGGATGGAGACAACTTATGAACACTTACAGGATTAGTGTTAGTGTTGTTTATCTTGTGGATCGACATCCATGGAAATAATACAGAGCACGCTTCTAAAATCTAACAGTATTTGGACCAAAGCAACTCATATCCATGGCTTTCTTCATTGATTCCTCTTTTCCTCTCTTCACTCTGAATTTACTAGTTGTAATCACCGCCGACGAACAATAAGAAATTTTCGTAAGAGGTCTGTTCCACCGTGCAACACCTTGATCTTTCAATGCCTCAACCGAACCGATGGTAGCGGCCACCACCCAAGCTTTCCTTACTGCATCACCAATCATCCTCCCCCGTGTGTGATTCCGTCGATAGAATTTGATCGTGTTAGTGTGACTGTTTTGGTTTGGGAATTGAGTGAATGGGGTATAAATGGAGGGGGAAGGAGATGCGCATCATGTGTTCGACGAAATGACGAAATGACAAAATGAAAAATGCAGCTTTCATGTCTTGTGAGTTACTCCCACTTAGCCTTGGAATTAAAGTTGGTTAAGTGATCCATGGATTCTCTATTGTGTTGTATATGTTTATATTCTCATGTGAGTTAATTTTCAAATAAGACACTAGTCAAGATGTTTATTTTTTATTATGTGTATAAAACAAATTGTAACTAATGTATTGTACTTTTGATGAATGGATTGATCATTAAATTAATTATCGTTCATTGTTTATATAATTTCATTGTCTATACAACTGATGATGCATTACATGGTACAGTGACTTGAAATGTAGATGAAAAATAGATGTTTTCATCATGTTGATGAATTCCAAAAATTCGATTAGTAAAGAAAATAATGACAAAATCATCCCACTTTTCAAAAGTCATATGTTACATATCAAAATATGTTTTCATTTTGAAGGTTGAACGGTGTAGGTGTAGTTCTGAATGCAGTTTGCCACTTAAGATGTGGCAAACACTGTGTTGGTTTTCTGGTTCTGAGTGTGGTTTCTCTCTCCTCGACTAGAAAGAGTCGAGTTTCTCTCCATCTTCTCTCACCGTCTCCTCTATCTCTTTCCTCTTCCTTTCTTCTCCATCACTCTTTGTCCATGGTTTCAAAATGGATGTCACACCACGATCTTATGTGGAGTTGAGGTGGAGAGTTTTCATATGGTTGAACAATGGCATGAGAGCCTCGCGCCTAACATCTAGTCCAACTTAAAAACATGAAAAAAAATCAAATATAAAAGGCAAGGTTAAGAGTATACAATTAAAAGTTAGAGGAAAAAAACTTTACAATGAGAAATACAAAACGTATTAAAACCAACCAAATATACAAGATATGAAATTATTTATCAAATTAGTTAACTCAAATCTGATAGAATGGAAAAAAATTAATGGATCGGTGAATCAAGACGACCCTCGTAACATCATTCCTCTGTGGAATGCAATTTACTTTGATGATGATGTGTACACGTGAATTCTCTGAATACTTATAACATTGTACAATATTAGCCAAATCATGTATAAATTTTAATTAGCCAAATGGTTTTAAAAATGTCATCGTTTAAACATTCTATTTTCATGATGATTAATAAGATTTTAATTTCACTGTTTTAGCATTATTTTAGATTTCTAATTTTTTATCCCTTTTATAGCATCTTACTTTCATGATGGCATGTAATAGTATATCTTTTTGAAAACTTTTAGCATTGTACTTGCATTATCCAAATCATATGTAAATATTTTTAAAAAAAATTAGGTTTGATATAGAATTGTGATTTCATTCTAAAGAAAAAAACAAGTGTACCTTAAATTTATATGTATAGGTGCGTTCATTTTGTCATTTTCATTGACGTGTTTACAAGATTTTAGTTTTTTTTAACTTTTTTAAATCACTTTTGGCATACCATTTTGACAGTCATTTTCATTAGTTTTTTGAAATACCACCAAACCATAAATCAGATGAAAAACATTTCATCATACAACAACTACTTGTTCTATTAGAATGCTTTCCATAAAAACATGTCATTTGGTACGGTCTTTAGAATCTTATGAGCACTTCCTATCATAATGAATTCTTTATATTATAAACAACTAATTGTAAGACCCATTATTAAATGGGTTAATTTAAAAAAGTTAAATATAAATGTCAAGATATTTGAAAACTTTGAATTTATAAGAAAATAAAAAAAATATTGAATTATTATAATAGAAATGTTTTTTATCTTTTAAATTTACACAAATACTAGTTTAAATAAATAAAAGAAAGACAAATTTGCAAAAATGGTCCCCTGTGGTATGCATTTTTTAGGGGTTTTAGTTCAAACCACGACTTTTTTGGATTGGTGGTCATTTTGAGCTAGTTTCGTTGCGTTTTTGGTACCTCGGAAAACTGAAAAGACTAAAATGACCTTCTGATACATTTTTTATGGTTTTTGCTATTTAATTTAAAGTTTTATTAAAAAAAATTATGGGGACCACCTCTTTCTCTATCTTTCTCTATCTTTCTCTCTCTCTCACACACACACACACTCTCTCTATCTCTCTCATTTCTTGATCGCCAGCCAAAGCAATAATGGTTCTTCCTCCTTCAACCACTGCCCAACCACCCATTGCAGCTGCTTTGCTCCACTAGATTCATGATAGCCGGTGGTGGAGATTCGACCAACAAAGGAGCACCGGTCTCGATGGACCCTTCCCATTTCTTCACGATATGGCTCACACAACCACCCCAATAAACCCCATGCCCCCACTATCACCATTGATCGGAGACAATAGCCCCGTCAAAAGCTTGCATCTGAGAGAAGACACGCCGGAAAACCTGTTGTCCCAACTCCTTCTCGGCATTCAGATTCAAAAACCATTGTCTCCATCCACCACCTGCGGTGTTACCTCGGATTTGCTCTACCCTCTCCCTCCCTTTGTGTTTTCTTCTAATCGGACAAGGAAGTAACCGCCTAGAAACCTCTCAATCTCAATCAGTCGATCTTCGCAGTCCCTTCCCTTTGATTCGTCGAGCACCACCACAGAACCACCATTCTTTCCCCTTTTTGTGTTTGCTACCAATAGATCCATAAGAGAAAGAAGACTTTGGCGACAACCATTTACGGGCGCCCCTACATGCGATTTACTCGATCATCGGCGGAATCTAGTGTTGCCTCTTTCCCCTCCTCACGGATTTAACACCACCAAGCCACCACCCTTTTTCCTCCTTCGACTTTGTTTTCTTCCCGATCGATTGCAGAAGACACCCAATCCCTCTTTTGTACATTTGGTGGTGTTGGCAAAACGAGTCCTTACATTAGGTTATGCAACCATCGATGAGCAACGTGAATGTTTGTTCATCAAATATAGATTGAGGAAGATGAAGAAGTAAGTAGGGGGTTTGACTTTCTTTTAAGTGAGAGAGAAAGAGAGAGAGAGAGAGAGAGAGAGAGAGAGAGGGGTGGGCCCAGTTTTATATTTAATAATAATAATAATAATAATTTTAAAAAGTGAAAGAAAAATGAAAAGTAAATTCATTAAGGGTATAATATTGTTTTTAGTTTGGACAAGGACCAAAACTGCATGTAAACTAGCTCAAAAAGACCATCAATCCAAAAAAGTCGTGGTTTGGACTAAAACCCCAAAAAAATAAATATCACAGAGACTATTTTTGCAATTTTGTCTAAAAGAAACTAATAAACTTTAATTTTGAGAATTTTGAAATTAAAAGATAAGTTCATTAATGAAATTAATATCAATTTATTACTACATTTATTGCAAGTAATATATTATAATATTATGTGGGATTTAATAAAATAGAAAAACTCATAAAATGACATGTGGAAAAAAATTAATTCAAAATAACCATAAAAATGACATTTGGCAGATTGAATGAGAATTTGACAAGTGCCAAAAAAACTTTCAAGGATAAATACATAATTGCTGCCAATTGAAAAATGCAAAATAGAGAAATGTCGATAAAGAGAAATTAAATAGCCTACTTTTTGTTCCTAATATCCTCCTATCTATTTTAGATGGTGACAAGTGTCATTAAATTTAATTTACATTTGATTGAGATTTTGAATTTGTACACTTATCATCATCTTAAATAGGTAGAAACAAAAGATAGAATGATATTTAATTTCTTATCGAGAAAATATCATAAGACAAAATAACAATTTTATTCACCCACAATGTAGTTAAAATTATTTGGAAGTATTTGGTTTTGGATCTAATCTCTTATCTACATACTTAACTCCAAAAAACAGCGTGGTTACAAAATATCATGTGTAGCCACATACGTTTTTACAACTAAAAAGAAAAATTAAAAACTCAATGATTTACTTTATTATCCGGTCACAAACAAACAAACCAAAAAATACATCCAAAAGACATTCTACTATAGTTATTGTTCCTGTTTGTGGTTTTTAGAACATTTTAGTATTTGTTGCAAAATAATGATTATATTATTCTTATTGTAAAGAAAATGTTAAGTAAAAGAAAAACAACGTTTGTTTGAAAATGTTAAGTAAAAAGAAAAACAACCTATCCGTTTGTTTCTTTGTATGGCAACTCATTTTCATATTTCTTACCATAGAATTTTAATAACGTTTTTTTTTTCTAATTAAGAAGTACTTTAAAATTTTAATCAATTTATAAAATTTTGGTTCATATGATGGAAAATTATTATAGATAAAACTTCAAAAATGGTCCTTGTAGTTTCTAAAAATATCAAGTTTAGTCCCTAAGTTCAAAAAACTTCACAGATGGTCTTTGTGGTTTCAAAACTTTTAACAAATGGTCATTCCGCCTAACTCCGTCAGTTTTAATTATTTAATTAAAGGGCCCCACCCTCTCTCTCTCTCTCTCTCTCTCTCTCTCTCTCTCCCTGGCCGTTAAACAAACAAGATCAGAAGGCTGGTAAAAACCAATGATATCTTTTTGAGGATTTTTGTCAAACACCTTGTGTGCGAGATTCAGAACTCCACTTCAACATGTAATTTATTTGTAGAAGTATCCCATTTCTGATATACAACCCAAACCAATGACAAATTCTTGACCTATGCAAACGCTACTGGTAAAAAAAAGATGTTATGGGAGGATGTCGATAGAGACGAAGATCAATAGGGAAAGGTGGGAGGTTGATTATCGAAGCACTATGAAAACTGATATTAAAAAAAAAATAATAAAAAAAAAAATAAAAAAACTTTTACGTGCAGACCTAGATGAATCGTTATTCCACTGGGAATTCGTGTTCGTCTTCCTCCTCTTCCTTCATCAAAACTGCCCAAAAACAATATCACAAGCACTAACACTCTCTAACTTTCAGGTGGTGATGAGGTAGACCTAGATGCAATCTTAGATCAAATTCTGACAGTGGATGTAGATCCAGATGCAGGTATTCGGTGGGATGACTTTAAACCCAAAATAAACTTGATTTGGGTTAATTTTTGGATGAAATCAGAAAAAGATGATGAAATTGGAACTTCATATATGCACTGTTCTCTGCCAGCAAGGATGAAGTTTTTCTCCATCGCTTTGGTTATATTAGGTTATAATACGAAGTTGTGATGATAACTATAGGTTTGATCTGAAGCTATTTCTACAATAATTTGGTTATGAATTGGAAATTTTTTGTTTTTACAATTGAAGAATCTGGGGGTGATTGGTTATTCGATCTACTTCATTGATTATCATTGGCTCGTATAATTGGAATTCAAGGATTTGCTGTCATGAGAAACAAACGATCTTGAACATGTGGGTCGTGTTCTAGATCTTTTATTTTTTAGCAAGCTCGATTCTTCTTAGTGTATCCGATAATTATAGGTTTGAGATCTTTGCCTTTTTTTATGCAGATAGATGAACGCATGAATTGTTCCACTTGATTTTCTTTTCCACTAGTAAATCGATTTGTAAGAGGAACTAAGAGAGAGAGAGAGAGAGAGAGAGAGAGAGAGAGAGAGAGAGAGAGAGAGAGAGAGAGAGGTGGGGCCTTTTAATTAAATAATTGTATTTTTTTTCTTTTTTTTTTTAAAATAGAGAAAACCTCATAAATGATCCATATGTATTGAAATGACGAAAATACCCCTCATTTAATGGTAGAAAACTGACGGAGTTAGGCGGAATGACCATTTGTTAAAAGTTTTGAAACCATAGGGACCATCTGTAAGGTTTCTTGAACTTAGAGATTAAACTTGATATTTTTGGAAACCACATGGACCATTTTTGAAGTTTTATCATTATTATATAAATGATCCATGTAGAAATAAATAACTTATAAAATAAAAAATGCTCCTTATGTTGTAAATGAATATAGATTTGGTCCTTGTGTAAGAAAAGATTATTAAAATGGTCACTATTTTGAAAAATATTACATAGATACCTATACTATTTTACTTTCATTTGTTTTTCTTACCAGAGAATTTTACTTTGTAAATCTAAGTACAAGTAAACGAGACTCGGTCATTTTAGAAATCTGTTTGCTTTAAAAAAAATAATAATAATAAAAAAAAAAAAATTATAGAAGTCCACGTATGATTCATGAGTATACAGTATACACCATAAAATCATGAATTTTGAAAAATTATGTGATATCTCAAAATATGTGGCTGTGTAGCGACACTCCTCCTCCATCCACCATTCCTTTATCCACTTTCACCCCCTTTTTACATCTTCTCTCTTCTTCATAATCATTTCCAATCTGCTCCATCCTCCTCCAATGGCTGCTTTTACTCTCTCTCCTGCTACTTCTTCGCAGGTACTCTCTTCAGTCTCCATTCCATTCCTCAAATAATATCTCGTCGATTGTTTTGCTAATGATTCCGATTCCAATTTTGACAGTTGCGATCTGGCACCAATGGATTGTTCTCCCCGGCCCAAGGGCTAATCGCGAAATCTGCGAAAAGCCAATCGGCGGGAAGGGAAAGAGGGATGAAGGTGACGTGTCAGGCGGCGAGTATCCCCGCCGATCGAGTTCCAGATATGGAGAAGAGGAAGCTGATGAACTTGTTGCTTCTCGGCGCTATTGGTCTTCCATCAACCGGAATGTTGCTTCCCTACACCTACTTCTTCGTTCCACCTGGGTTTGTTCTGCTTATCTTTCTAGAATCTTCCTCGTAGATATAGCAAATAGATCATTTATGATAATCTGTTAAAATCTGATTATTTAATGACTAATAAAACTAAAATGACGAAAAACATTTTCTATCTTTTTGTTATAGTGTTTAACTTAAAACGTAAATCAACTATAATAACATTTGCTAGAATTATTTATTATTACTTATTATATACTATAAAACTCCATCATCAGCAATTATAAAGAATTATCTTGTTTTCTTAAATAATGTTATTAGCAACAAGTGAAAAATATACAAATGAACCCTTTAAATAATCAGTTATGTTTCGGTTTGTAAAATCCGATTATACTAATTTTAAAAAATATCAAAATTGATTTTGCTTTGAATTAATTTTTATATATGAAACAGTTCGGGAGGTAGTGGTGGTGGTACTGCTGCTAAAGATGCCCTTGGAAACGACATCGTTGTAGCAGAATGGCTAAAAACCCATGGACCCGGCGACCGAACCCTATCTCAAGGTCTAAAGGTACTACTCCTACTTGTTTTACTTTAATAAACATATATAATAATAAGGGTATTTACATCTTTTACAAGTACCATAAATCGAGTACTCGTCCCACTTTTTAAGGTTTGATAACAAAAATTGTAATTTTTGTCCAATTGACACAAGATCTAATCCAATTCAAGTCAAATGTTGTACAACTTATTAGACTGATTCAATCAGATTTAACTCAATCAGCAACTATCAAACAGTCTTCTGGTATGTGAACGACTTATGAAAATGAAATGATTTTGAGTTCATATGAAATTATAGGGAGACCCAACATACCTAGTGGTGGAGAATGATAGAACCCTAGCCACATACGGAATCAACGCAGTGTGCACCCATCTCGGGTGTGTCGTGCCATGGAACAAAGCAGAGAACAAGTTCATGTGCCCGTGCCATGGTTCCCAATACAACAACCAAGGCAAAGTTGTTAGGGGTCCCGCTCCTTTGGTAAGACAATCCATTACACTCTTCTTTTCGAATGCAATATAATGTACAAGAGTTGATGCACGAGGTACAATTTTTAACGCACAAAGCACAACTTTTGATGCCCACTTGCACAAAGTACAACTTGTTGTGCATAGTGTACAAGTTTTTGATCAACTAAGCACAAATACAAGTAGTGATGGACAATGTACAAGCTTAGGGGCACAAAGTATAACTTTTTATGCATGATGCACAAATTGCAATGCATGATATATAATTAGGGTAATGTATAAATTTTGATGCACATGGTACAAGTTGTTGAGGCAATAATTTGTTGATTTG